GAAAATTAATTATGCAGAAATCCAAGCGTGCAAAAATACTGCTCACTTTTAAAACCTAAAATTCCCAAATAAAGGCAAACAAACGAAGGAATCGTGACAGGAAAGTCAATAACAATAAATTTCCATTCAAGACATAAATGAAGCAAAGAAACCTATCCAAAAGCAAAAAAAAAATATATATGTTCAAAATTTCGCAGACGTGCTTCGCTACCGCATGTTCAAATGAATTCTTCACGCTAAAGCGAAAGCTTGAGTTTTTATCGACGACTTTTGCAGTTATTTTATCGGTCGTGGCCTTACCAATTGTTTCAGAAGTTGAATTCAACCCCGAAGTAATACTGTACGTTACCATTTTTGCTTTTCTAAAGGCTAGGAAGCTGCCTTAAAGTCCGCGATTTGTTATCAAAATTGAAAGCGCACCCGGATCGTCATGTTTTCGCGGCGATCGCAGGAAGGAAAATTTCCTCACTAGAAAGGTTTGAGGACTCTGTACACCTTGCTATTCCATTCTGTGGCCACCTAAATATTTATTTGTGCTTTTCCTTTCCATTCTGAGTCCCAAAGAAGTAATTTCTCCATTTTAGGGATGAAAATATGTAGATTTGGCCCACAACGCGCCATGATTACAACTGTTTATGCAACGCTGTGATTGGCTGGTCATTTGGGGTGTGTCTGGGGGCAGAGCAGCTTGAACAATAGTACTAGGCTTTTGTGCATTATGTTAACATTACTTTTTTTTTAGCATTTTAGTGAGGCAGACGCATTAAGTATTATTCGAGCATTTTAGTGGCATTTTCCCCGAAAATTAATATTTTTCCACAGGAAATAATACAGTCAAAATAATTTTTTTTACAAGAAAACTAAGCCTTGTTAAACTTAGTCTCTTCACTTAAGTTTCACTACAAGGGACAAAGAATTGACAGAACAAGAGATCATTTAGAGAATTATCTTTTGGTGTATCAAAACTATTGCATACATTGTTGTTAGCTTGTTATACTAAGTATATGTTTTTGTTAAGCACTCTGCCGAACTGTTGATGGTGTTAAAATTATTAAAATTTAAAAAACCCTATGTATGAGCATTAACCAAACATTTCAGTGACCTTTTTGGGGGGAACCAAGCATTTTAGTGGAAAAAACGGAGCATTAAGGTGGAGCATTTGAGTGGGGAAATAAAAGCCTAAATGGTGTGCGTACAGGCGTTATTTTTCTCATGCTCTTCCCCTCACACATGACTCACACTTCGTGCTCGCCTCACTTTCGCCTCTTTTTGCCTAATATGCAAAAAAATAACGCCTGTTCTGCTGGCTAGACATTGAACGTTGACGTGATAATAAGCTTACTTATTTCAACAAGTTGTATAATGTTGCTTACCAAGATTGTACAAAGGTAACTCATCCCCACCAAGAGAAGGTTCTCTGTCAGCTCTAAAGTAAAATGTGAACACAAATGTGCATAATTTACCACCTCATTTTGATCAATATAAGCTTAGATACCATCATCCAAACATCAAGAATGCTTACTTTTGTATGAGGTCATAAGCTTATGTAGAGCAAGCTCACTTTGGATGTAGAAGACGTTCCGCAAATTTGCTATCTGTGAACTTTCCTAGACTGTCTTTCCTCTCTCTCTCCAAAGATTAAATACGGACTGGTGGAGATGAATATACCTTGCCAAACCCAGTAAATGGGGCC